GTGGCAGCCCTACACAGAACATTGTGATTTTTTTAAACTATATTGTGAAAAGCCAAGAAAAACCAAACAAGCATGACATCCAACCCTGTGACTGTCACTTTCATTTCATTACACATATAAGACACGAAAGAGCACAATAACCAGCCATCAGCGAAAAGACAACAACAACAAATGATTCATTCACAAAGAATCATCATTGTCAACGCATGAAAAGCACTGATTTGGACTTTACTGCTGCAAAACAAATATTTATGAATCTGGAAATGTTTCCAGATTATTAATGTCTGAGGTCTTTGATGTGAGTCCATGTTCATTTTCTCGTCTATGTCGATGATGCAGCTTTACACGTGTGCTCCGTTTGTCTCTTATAATTTACATTTTACAGTTTTGACTCATTTGTCCTGAATTTGAATTAAATCTTTTATAACGCTTGAAAAAGAAGAAAACGTGCCGTCATCTGTCTTTGAAGCAACACGCCACAAACTCCCCGAATAATGAAATCTTATCTGAGTCTGTCCTGGAAAAACAAAATCAGAACTATAAGTTGAAAATGATATTCATGACTTCTGTCACACACAGACGGCTATGTGTGAATATTTTTTATGCACTTATTATTATATCCATTGCTAATATCATTCGTTGTATATTTGTCAAGGCAGAAATGAAAGAAAACATGTCACCAAAGATCAAACATGTTACATTTTTTACATTTTTAATCCTTATTTTTGCACATCTATATTTAGATGTAATCAGTCTGCAGTGTAAGTACAAAAGCAAGCACACACACTGATTTTTAAAAAAGGCAGGAGAGGGGAACATGCAGATGGAGTCAGAGGGAAAAAAATGCAAGCAGATTAATGGTTTGAACATGCAGTGAGCTGTGAAGAGGCAGAGAGCATCTCCAGACTGCAGTGGATCTGCTGCCATCTATAAATACCATCCCAGACATTATACAAGCCCTCTTTGCACATTCCGGATATTAACTGTGGGTGTGATGCTCGTCAGAGGTAGGCACAAAAAATCACTTCAACTGCAGCGTGACAGAGCTGCGCCCGACAGCCCCGACGTGCCAACAGACGTCTCACCGTGCTCTGATTATGCAGATGTCCACATAGCACAGCCTCACATTACTCTCTGGTCATCACTAACAGAGGATCTCCTCTCACGGTTCACCGGAGCACATGTGACAAATCAGACCCGGGGCGACTGCCAGACCTCGAGACTCAAGTTCTGACATCCATCGGACATTTTTGGGGTTTTTAGCGCAGATTCCTACAGATTTCCATCTTTATTCACCCATCAGAACATCTGGCGAGCACGGCTGTCGTGCAGTGAAATTGGAGGTCGTCTGTTTTGGTGACTATGGAGTCAAAAGTGCACAATGCTGGG